AACAATAAAAAATTTAAAAAAATGCCAGTTCTGGAGAAGGACTAAATAATTTTATCTTCATTTTTATGACTCTTCAATACTTTAATATTGTTTAAGAACATGTAATTTCCTTTAGTGTGAATAAGAGATTCATATTATAGAAAATAGTCCTATAATGTGAATGTGAAAATTGTACATTATGTATTTTATTATAAAAATATATTAAAATAGTTGTTCAATAAAAAAAAAAGAATTAAAGAGAAGGGGCTGAAGATATAGCTCAGTGGTAGAACGCTTGCCTAGCATGTACAAGGCCATGGATTTCATTCCTAGCACCAAAAAAATAAATAAATAAAAGAAGAATTAAAGAGAAATTAAGAAAAAACAAAACCAACTTATATCTTGGGTTTCACCATAAATTTGTATATATTTTCCATAAAAAGAACAAGATGCTATATAAAATAAAATCAAAGAATAAAGAGGAGTTCTTGATATTAAAATAATATACTTGCCAAAATAAAAATTTTAATAGTGAGGTACAAAAATAAAACAAAGAAAATCACCCATTAAGTTGGAGGCAGGAGAGTTAACATAAAAGTAAAAGACATAGGGATGAAAAGTTAAGGTACAAGACTTTGAGAATCCAAGAAGTTCATATAATTCAGAAATCACAGAATGAATGAACAGGAAGGAAGGAAATTAAGAAAGAACTAATACAGAAATATTTACATGGAAAGTCCTAAGCCTCCAGACTCCATAAGTGTTTTTATGTGCCTACATAAATGCACATCTTCATGAAATTTCAGAAATCTAGGAACAAAAATGATAATCTATACATAATCTACAAAGAAAAATTTATTTGCAAATAAATAACAGATTTCTCAACTACATTAGATATTAGAAGACACTGAAGCAGTAAATCTCATAAACCTGAGGAACAACTGATAACCAAAGTATCACTTAAGTGAAAATATAAAGTAGTCATTTTCAGGCCTGCAAGAACACAGAAATGTCATCTCCCAGGTATCCTGCTTTAGGGGAATATTGGAAGATATATTCTACTACAATAGTACAATAAAGCATAAAAGAAACACACAGAAAGAAATCTCTCAAAGAAGTGGAGATATGTGAATTGCCTGAAAAACAATTCAAAATTATTGGTTTAAGAAAGCTCAGTGTACTTCAAGAAAATACAGAGGAACAATTCAGTGTTATCAGGAAAATGATCAATGATCAAAACTATCAAATTAACAGATATTGAAAGTATTTTGTTAAAAAAATGAAACAAATTCTGAAATTGAAAATGGAATGAAATAGAGAACATCAACAACAGAATTCAACAAGCAGAAAAAATAATCTGTGAACCTGAAGATAGGTTATTTGAAAATATACATTTGGAGAAGAAAAATTATTAATTATAAAAAGCAACAAAGAAAGCTTATAAGATTTATGTGACAGCATCAAAGGAGCAAATCCTACAGTCATAGGAGTTTGAGAAGAAAAAGAAAAACGATGGGGTATAAAGTTTATTTAAATAAAAATGATAGCAGAATACTTTCCAAATCTGGGGAGAACAATAAATATCCAGGTACAAGATCATAGGCCTCCAATCAGATTCACTGCAAACAAAACTCAGTTGAAATGTATCATAGTCAACAATAGCAAATCAAAGAGAATATCTTGAAAGAGGGAAAAAAAAAAAACAGAAACTCACATGTAAAGGAGTTCCAATATATCATACTAGATTTCTCAGTATAGATTTTATAGGCCAGAAGAGAGAGTGATGTTAAATTCCAAGTGCCAAAGGAAAAAAAAAATGACAATGAAGAATACTGTATCATGCAAAGCTGTCCTTCAGAAATGCAGAAATAAGACTTTCTCAGACAAATAAAAAGCTGAGGGAGTTCATCACTACCAGAATCATCTTATAAGAAATGAAAAAGGAATTTCTTCAAGCTGAAAGGAAAAATTGCTAATTAGTAACACAAGAACATATGAAAGTATAAAATACACTGCTACAAGTTAAATTTAGAATATTCTAATATTCTAATATTGTAATGGTGATATGCAGACCACTTACATATTTAGTATGAAAGTTAAAAGATGAAACTATTAAAAATAATAGCTATGAGAATTTGTTAAAATATAACTTTTGTAGAACTATATCAAAATGGATTCTACTGTCATGTATAATTAAAACAATCAATAAAAAATCTAAAACAAAAAAAGATAACAATATAAAAAGATACAAATTGTGGAATCAAAAACAAACTATTAGTGGAGGTGGGAGCACACAGTATAGAGTTTTTTATCAGTTTAAAGTAGCATGTTATAATGTAATGTAAGTCTCATGGTAACTACAAAGAAAAAAATCAACCTACAGTGAAAAAACAACCTACAGAATGGGAAACAATATTTGCAAACCATGAATGTAATAAGAGATTAATATCCCAAACATATAAGGAACCGATATAATTCAATTGCAAGAAAATAAGCAACTCCTCCTCAATACTAAAACGTTTGCTTTAATTTTCTTCCTTGACAATGCCAGTAAAAAATACACTGACTGATTAATATCTTTTGTTGCAAATGTTGAGTGCAATTAAAAGATAATTTTACTTTCTTAAAAATATTTGTGATTGGATTGATTACTTCTTCTCCTCATGTATAGAACACAAAGTACCTATGGAGCTAAAGAAAGTGTTTGTTGTTCAAATTATTATTTCAGAGACTTGGTCATAACCAGCTTATAACATGAAAGCTTTCTAGCAAAATCAGTGCAGTGGCTTTGTTTTTCTTTCTTGGTATTCCTATAAAAAAGGATTACTAAACAAATTAATAAGTAAGCAGGCAAACAAGTAAAGCACTATTATATTTAATAGCAAAAGCATTTAACAGCAGGACTCTATTCACAAAATGATTTTGCTAATTATAAATGAGTCTTATGTAGTATTTAAAGCATTTACAAGGTTCTCAGAAGCTCTAGAGTTCTGTCCCCGCCCTCCCCTTATAGCAATGTGATGCAATCCTCAAAGAGAAAAAGAAAAAAAAAAAAAACATTGCTTTTAAAATGTTCTGCTAGTCAGCTAGTCAGACTGTTCATTTTCTTAAATCAACACCCCCCTCATCTTTGATGATTATCCTTCCTGATTGAAAACACTGAAATCAGTATAGGCAGGCTGAGTGGGAGAACATGGCATATAGAACCTTTTGGGATTTGACCTCTTCCTGTCTGCACACCCTTAGTTTATGCAATTCTTCGCCATGCACACTGTGAATCAGCCTCTACAAACTCCTTGACATCCCTCAGACACTGCCCTTGGCCTATGTAGTGGCCTTTGCTACATCATCATCTGATGAGTTCCTGCTCATCTTCTGTGAGCCACACCATAAACCCACTGCTTTCTCTGAGCCACCTTTTCCTATACCTCCTAGTTTTTGCCCCCCCTCCTTTTATTGAATTCTCATAACACTTTGCTCAAATCTATTATAACTCTGATTACATTCTATGACGGTGTTCAGAAGGCTCTCTCCCACACTGGTCTGTGCACTCTTAGAAGATAGGGACTAAAGCTCTCTTACCTTTTAACCTTTCCACTTAACCCTTCTTGACCCAGTAGACATTTAGTAAATATTGAGCAAAAGTTATTACTAGGATCAGGAAGGTAAATGGCAGTGAGGTTGAAAGGAGAAAAGATAAAATCATGGGAACTCTAAAGCAAAGAAGAAAAGAAATTAAAGAGATTAGGAGAAAGGGGCAATAAGAGAGGGTAGGAATAGAGACAGCTAGGATGTAAACAAGTAGGAAATGGAGGAGTAAAGAAACAAAGCCTGAATTCTGAGAAGCAAATTAACATCAAGAAAGGAAATGTGAGGTGGCTGAAATTGGAGCATTTCTAAGCCAAAGAGGGATGGAGGAAAGAATAGGTCAGTGTGAGGAATGAGGCAGCATGTAGCCTATAGCCCATGAGCCAGGCCCCTGCCTTTGGCTAGAGATGAGGGCTGCCCTGCTCCCTTGCTTTCCCTGCCCCTAAGCTTCTCTGTTCTGATTCAAGCCTAAATATTGTCTCCTCTTTTTTCTTCAGCAACAGAGGAATTCTAGTAAGGCTCCATGTGTACATGAGTGCATATAATGTGAGGACAAATGGGCATGTGTGTTTGCTTGCTTCCCTCTGCCACTTTGGGTGTTTTTACTCTGAAACGTAAGCCCAAAGGGCAATGCCATAGCAAGCCCTCAGCTGTCTCTGCCTTTGCTGTCTCAGAAAGGTCATTTTCAAAGCCCTTTGGGGAGGCTGTGTCTCCTGCCTGAAGTCTGGCAAGAGTGGAAAACCTTGGTGTGTTCCCAACCTTGTTGAATACATTACAGTGCATGAAGGCTGGGATGTTTGTCATAATGATGCATGTATACATACCATAGTATTTATTGTGCCTTTAAGACAAAATGACTTTTCGGACTCACCGAGCTCTCTTCCTCAAGGAAGATATACCACTTAGAAATTATGTTCTTTTGGAGTTATTTCTTGGGTAACCCAAAATGTCTCTTGTCTATAGAAAGCAGCATTATGCAGCCATGGATAAAAATCAAGAGTCCAGGTTGCTAGTATGAGGCTAAGTTTTCTCATCTATCAAACTATATAATATATAAGGCCCCACTTATGACTAACAGTCTGTAGTTAACCTGTGGTTGCTACCACCATTCTATGATCTGATCCTCTCAACAACCTGCCAATTATTTTGATCCTCATTTTACAGATGAAGAAACTGGAGCTACGAGAGGAGAAGTGACTCAGACAAAGCCACATAGCTAGTGAGCCAGGATGATGCTAGTTTTCTGTTTTCAAACTCATCTTCAATTCACCCTAGACAAAAACCTGGCTATGTATTGGCTTCATGGCCCCTGTTTCTTAATTTCCCTCATAGCTACTCCTTCCTGTAGCCACTGAAGGTACTGTGTAAAATGAATTAATTAGCTTCTGTTTTATTCTTCCCTCCTCCCCTCTTCTCCCCTTCCCAACCTCTAGAAGAAAACACCAGCAGCACCAACAAAGAAAACAAGCACCACCTTCAACATTGTGGGGACCACCTATCCCATCAACCTGGCCAAGGACACTGAGTTCTCCACCATCTCCAAGGGCGCCACTCCCAGTGCCTCCTCAACTCCGACAATTATTGCTTCACCCAAGGCTACATATGTGCAGGACAGCCCCGCTGAGACGAAGACCTACAACAGTGTCAGCAAGGTTGACAAAATTTCCCGCATCATCTTCCCTGTGCTCTTTGCCATATTCAATCTGGTCTATTGGGCCACATATGTGAACCGGGAGTCAGCGATCAAGGGCATGATCCGCAAACAGTAGATAGTGGTGGTGGCCCGGCAACTAGAGCACTGCATACCCCATGAAGCATCCAGGCATCTAAACCCCGGGGCTCCCCTCTGTGTGTTTCAGGATTTTTCTTTTTCACCCCCTTCCAAGCTCTGACTCTCAATTCATATTTATGAATCTCAATGAAAGTCCAACGACAGAAAAATTACTCGTCCCTCTGACATTGCTTAGTATTCCCCCATCCGAGCCAAACACTGCCATTTGTCCAGCTGCTCATCTTAGTCTACCAGTCTCCCCCAGCTGAGGGCACTGCATGTATTTTATTGCACTCTGCCCACTGCAGAAAGAACTGGGGACTCTGCTCCCTAAAGTGGTAGCCTTTGCTATTTGAGAGGTATAGACTGAGAAGATTTGTTGACTGGTTTAGACCAGACAACTCTTACTCACTTGGGAGCCAGGCGGGGCTATCACATATAGTCCTGTCTGCCACCTCTTCTGCCTACTGCATAAGAACTAACCTGTGTTCATCATCCCCAATCCCTTTCTTGGCTTGGAAGTTAGTGAGGACAATCAAGGCTCAAAACTATCAACCATGTATGGTCAAAACAAACAAAACCCACTGGGCCAGACTGGCACCAAGATGGCTGGAGCCCTGTGAGGTTCAGCCCCTCAGGAAAGTACACTTGTGCTTGGTATAGCTCTCTTCCAGGAAATTTCTCTTCAATGCCTTTAAACAAAAAGATGTTAACAAAAACAAAAAACATCTACATTGAATGCTTCTACGAGAATTTTTAAAAGTTGGGAAAGATAAGAAACTTACCTCTTTTCTAGGGCAATAGTCAAATACTAGATGGGATAAGAGGGGTTGATGGTAGTTAAGGATTGAAGACTGGTGCAAATGAAAGGGGCAGGATCAAGTCAAGTTTTTCCTTCCATATCCTCCAAAATCCACACCCTTCCCAATCTCAGGCACTTTGCTCCCACCATGTCAGGCACCTCTGGTCATCTGCGAATGCCAGTTGTTATGAAGGGCAAACTGGTGATTCATACAAATATTTCTAGTTAACTTTGAATCAACTAAATCATAACTTTATTACCAGTTTTATAATGAATTATTTACAGGCCATTTAATCTCATTCATTCTTAATTTTAATGTGAGTAAAAGGGACAGGCATAAATTAAAAAAATTTATAAGATAGATAAACTGAGTCCCAGAAGTTTGAATAGTTGTCTAGGCTCCCTTCAAGTATCTTTAATAAAGAACTATCATATGCCCCTCTCCAAAGGCCAAATGAAGAAAGAACCGAGAAGTCAGGTCCACTGTGACTCAGAATCAACACAATGTCAGTGAGCTTTCTGGGTCATGAGTGCACATTTTTGGGACACCAAAAAGGTCTTTAGAAAGTTATAATGCATCCCCCAAGAAGACCACTGTAATAGTCATGACTTAAAGAATGAGACTCTTTAAGTCCACAGCTCTAGCCACTTTGGATCTGAATATTACAGTAGTGAAGAGTATCCTGGAAGTTCAAGGTAAAGCCACAGATGGCACTACAAGCAGATTCTCCCTGCCCGCCCCCTGAATAAAGCTCCTAAGGGGTGTATCATTAGCTGCTGGTTGCCCTTTCATCCATCCTTCCCCCATCCCCTGCTTCCTTGCCATTGCTGGGATAATGCATGCCAGTCCCATTATTCCTAAGACTGTGTCTGTAGGTAAATTCATGACTAGAAGAGTGTAGTTTCGTGGATAAGTGGGGATGGGGGGTGGGAGTGGGCGGGGCCGTTACTGATTGTCAAGGATTTAGAATGGAAGCCTGACCTTTGCCTCTCTGTAGAAATTGTGTTTCCAAATGCTTTGGTGCAATGTTTAGCGGCTGTTTATTAAACCCTTTCTGAGTTGTACTTGGGCTGGAGAACTTTTATTGGTCACTCTTTGCCTACAGCAGACAGTACACCCCTGTTCTTGTGCCACCCTTACTTACACTTCTTAACACCATTAGAATAAGCTGGAAGAAAGTTATCTCAAAGCAAGAACACCGTTCCAGTGATGGAGCCCATGTAAAAACAGAGCTTCTATCCACTCAGTGGTCTTATTGGCCACTATAAGAGAGAAGGAAACAGATGTGTTGCTTCCTATGCTATATTCATCAACTCCCTGGGAATAAAGAAAGATATTGTCATTATAATTCTAAAGGCTTTCTCTTTTCCATTGATTATTATTTCCCTTAGGCAATAGTTCTCTTAGGCAGTATTATTAGGCAGAATGGGAGTGAGTGTTGAGAAATGGAAGATGATTCTTTATGTTGAAGAGTAAGAAGAAATCTGGGAAATAATCTCAAGAGATTTACTTGAGAAAAGTATTTGGGTCCTAAAGGATGGGAAGAGAATTTCAGATCTTAAAAAAAAAGGGTTTTCTCATTTAAAATAAAGGAAGGGACTTGGATAATCTGATCCTTGATGCGTGTTCCAACCCTGTGATCATCTGATGCGTGTGCTATTACTACAGTAATTCTAGTCACTGACAAGTTCAGTCACATTCCAAAAACAACTACAAGACACAGAAGGCAACCTCTTATATAAAATTGTCTAATTACCAAGATTTAAGTGTTGTTTCCTTAAAAACCTTCTGAAACCACCTTGCCTTTAAAAATTACGCCCCTAGTCATAGGGGAAAGCTCACACTTTTCCCATCAGCATTTCTGTTGCTGAGATCCACTAAAGTTTAAATCTCAATACTGTGGATTGGAGTATTTTATGGTATTAGGAACATGACAGAGAGATCCAAGCAGATTATTGAAGGTACCAGTCTAGAGGCTGCTAGAGGACTATGTACCACATAGAAAACAGTAAGTATTTACTGAATAACTGAATGCTAACTACATGGAGGAGAATTTCTTCTGGGGTGTTCGAGAAGAGATTAGCCAAATCATGATCAATGGAAACTAATGGAAATAAACAAACCCAATGTGCAGTCTTCTAAGGCAGCTCTGGGAGCATCCAAGTACTAATAAATGTGCTCTATTTTAAGCCACTTTAAATAGCTTCATCCTAATTAAATAATTGTTTGCTCCTATGGGCTTTTAAATCTGGGGGTTCATTAAGGATCTATTAGTACCTCTTGCTAAATTACTGAAGGCATGGCTGAGCACTAGACCTATCTAAATACCTCAGACATATCCATTGGCCCATCCAGTATGCATCTGTGTTATGACACCCTTCAGCGGGATCCCAGGATGGCTTGGAAAAAAGACACCCTGAAAACTCTGAAGCCTTGCAAAAGGTCCAGCAGGAAAGAATAGTAAGGAGACTGAAGGAGGAAGGGCACAATTGGGAAAAATGCTGTCAAAGGGATCCAAGAATTGGAGGTAGCCCTTTAGCCCACAAGCATTCATCAGTGACCATCTGTTGGAGTGAGGCCAAAAGCACCTTGCCCTTGTTGGTGGAAAAGCAGCCTTCTAGAACCTCCAATCTTTTCTTATTCTCTTTTTCTTTAAATATCTTTTATTTAAGGTATATAGAATGGTGTTTTGATAAATACACAATAGTGAAATGACTATTAAAGATAAGTCTATGTACTTGAGTTTTGGGGATTTGTTCATTTGTTTTGTCCTTTTCCAGATTTCATATATGAGTGAGATCATGTGGTACTTGTCTTTCTGTGCCTGGCTTATTTTGCTTAAACATAATGATCTTCGGTTTTATCTATGATGTCACAAATGATGGGGCAACTTACCTGTTCCACCTCCCTTCTGCCTCAGCTCTAATAATTGAGTATCAAGGAAAAATCACTGAGAAAAATGGGTACATGGATTTTATACTGGGTTTAATTTCATTACAGTTGCTGTGTAATGTTAGACAAGTCCTTTCCTTGAGCTGAGACTTAGTTTCCCCATTAGTAAAATCAGTTCATGATCAGAACCTAATCAACAGAGTATCCCTTTCAACAGCTTCCTGGTGGGATGCTAAGCCCCGACGTATCACTACATCTGGGAACCCACCCTGATTCTGGGTGCACAATTCTCATCCTTTTGATCCCTGTGATACAATTCAGATGGGTAGGCAGTTTCAAAAGAATTTGACTACATACTAAGTAAAGGTGCTTGGAGGCTAAACCGGGGAATTTATGGTTATATTTATACCTCTATCAGTGAACTCTTCAGCTCCCCAACCCCACCCTAATATCCTTGCTTTGCTTGTGGCAAGGTCTCATGTATGTGATGAGATGCAAGATTATCAGTTGCCCAACTCCATTCGGCGCATGGAAAAAGTTGGATCTTAAATTGAGGAGATTATAGGGATCCTGATGCCAGGTAGGGGGACCCCACCTAAGCTAAGAGCACAGAGTGAAAAAAAACACCTCTCCTTTTGCTTCCTTCCAAACATTTAACTCAGGAGAGAACACAAATTCCCAGAAGGAGACTCCCTAACCTCCTATGACAAAATAGACTTAGTGGGATCTACATGGTTTCCCTTCTCTTCTGTCAGAGAAAAACAGTAGCTTCCTTTCAGTATAAGGCCAGCCCCTTTTCTTATTGTTCATCTTTACTCTCTTCTCAAAGAATGCTAATTGTGTTATCTGCTCTCAGTAAGCTGCTCTTGCTGAGTCACCACTGTCCTTGTTACTAAAACCAAAAGGCATTTTCAGTTATCTTACTTGACCTGTCAGCAGCATTTGATGGTTAACAACTACTTCACCCTTAAAACATACTCATTAGTTTCCATGACACCACAGTCTCCTGGTAGCCCCACGTTTTCCCCCTGCCACCTTTCTATTTTTCATATTTTTCCACTAAACTTCTTCCCTCCCCTCCCTTAAAAGCTTGGGGCTCCCTATAGTCTTTCCCCTGTTTTTGTTTCCCTTTCCACATTCTCCCTGAGTGATCTCATTACTCTTGATGGTTTCAGTTACCACATATTCCAGTTATCTTTTATTGTGTAACAAACCACTCCAAAGTAAAATAACCCCATATCATCTTGTCCATACATAGGTTAAAAAAAAGTGGACAGAAGACAGCAAGGATGACTTGCCTCTCCTCCATGATGTCTAAGACTACAGATAAGATGACTAAAACAAGCAGAGGGTGACTTCATTGACTAGAACATCTTGGAGTGAAGGGTTCACTTCCCTGCTCCATATGGCAGGGGATTCTAGAGTAAGAGACAAACATGTTAATTGCCCAGTTCCAGTTCTGTTCAGAAAGGCAAAAGTCGGGTCTTAAGCTGAGAAGATGAATGAGGTTGATGGAGTTTGATTTGGGAATGGGAAACTTGCTCACATGTATGCCAGATGGGCTACTAAGGTTGAAGGACAAGTTCATCTGGAACTGTTGTCTTGAGAATCTCCACATGTTTTTTCCTTGTGGCTTCTCATAGCATGTAATTTTGGTTCTGAAACAGAACATCTCCAGAAGGAGTCTCTGAAGAACAAATGTTCCAAAAGAACCAGGTGGAAGCTGCATAGCTTTTACTCTCCTAGCCTGGGAAATCATGCAGCATAACTAAGGTCAGGGTAGAGTAAGAGGAGGGACACAGAGAGCCAAAAACATTGTAGGCATATATGAAAGTCACCACACCTTCTTCGTACTGGTGACTGCCAAACTGATATCTTTAGCCTCCTTCTTTCAAACCAGTTCTTTTGTCATATTATCAGCAAAATTCTTATTTCCTCAACCCTCAAAATTCTTCCCTCGATCATTCCTTTATTAGTCAATAGAAGCAGCATTCACCGACA